CCCCCCAAAAAAAAGAAAAGAAAAAGAGAAAGGCCAGCCATCCTTCACAATGAATAGCTTCTTTAATATTAATGTAAGACCAGTGCAACTTGGCTCATAATATATTAAAAAGGCAAAAAGCCAAAAAAATATCAACCTTCTTTCACTGAAAAGTTATTTTTCAAGCCTATCTTACTTGAAAGATCAGGTTTTGAAGCTTTTAAAAAAGTAAACTTGATTTTCTGTTCGAGGAATACAATGTCGGAAATGAGGTTAAATGTGCACAATGCTCACAAATGAAAAGTTCAATACAAATTCTGATGTTTAATGTTAAATAGTTTCCTCGATATTTAAGTACAAAAACTGAAATGTAGCACATAATATCAAAATATAATATTTTTTGAATGTATAGTTTCTTTTGCCATACTCATACCTCTGCTGTAAAAACAAAATGTAAAGCTGATAATTTTTTTTTGCAAAAAATTCAAAATTGTTTTCATCCCAATTTCACAGAAAAGTACTTTTATGAATTGATTTAAAACAAATTTGATTAGAAAAACACATTTTGACCCCCTAGAAAAGTAGATTTATTTGGCAACACTGGTATACAACTTTTCAAGTAAGAGAGGAGAACATAGCCATAGCAGTGAGCTATTTTCATGAACAAAATTCCATAATTTTAAGCCATTTGCTTTTTTTTCATTGGTCTGTGGCAACAGTCAATTCGAATATCATTCCATGTTCAAGTCCTTGAACTAGCAACCCCATCACGGAAGAGATGTCTAATATCTGAGCAATATCAGCCACATTTGGCTTTGAAAAGTAAAAATGGTACCTATTACAATTCACATGTTTTATTATATGTTGTGTGCAATGTGAAAAAAATATATAATGCACAATTCATAATGTGAAATCCAATTGAGGAACAACTATGAATGTGAAATGTGAAGGTGAGAAAATGAGAAAGAAAGAAAACCATCTTAATTTATGAAACTATAAATCAAAATCATAATCATTACGCAATAGTTAGGCAATATTCCATCTCAGTTTATTAAAAGAACATTTTTCACTGCATGACATGAAACAATGTTTGGTACCAATAACAGAAAATAAGAAATATAATTTTTTCCCCATTCTCAATAGAACTATGATTAAGAATAGTTCTATTGAGAATGATCTATTAAGAATTAATATTCTGTGATAAAATTTTATAATATAAGAGTTTTGAAATCTGTCACTTCAATGAGAAAGAAATCATAAAGCATGGATATTGAAAACTTAATTTGACACAAGAATACGGAAATGAATATTCCAATAAGGAAACTAGTTTACCTTGGTGGTTGTCTAGAACAATTTATGTTATTATCCCATTCTAAAAATCCAGATTCTTCCAGAGCACAATTATTCCAAGGATTGATATTTTGGTCCCAATCACAATGCCACTGGGAGGATACGTCTGTTATAGTAGAGTCAGTTAACTTGCTTTCAAATCCACTACTTTCTGCTTTTGATGATCTGGAAGCAATAAGATAACGATATTGAATATCTGTTATCAAAGAAAAGATCATTATTGAAACAAATAAAGCTAGCATATACCTTTCACTAAATGAGCTTGTTGATATTGTACTCCTCACCATATCATTTGCTGTTATTTGAGGATCTACAAAGTGTTCCTCAGAGGCATTGTAGTTACTATTTGTTTCTTTGGGTACAACAGTTTCAGCCATTTTGTCAAATTGTGTGGGTTCTAACTCTTCTTCCTCAATGAAATCATCTAAACCATCCTCATCCCATTCCAGCTCAGCCATTGAGTTGTCCTCAATATGAACAGAAGCAGTTTCAGAGTTCAAAATTTGACACTCTAACTCTTCTGCTACTCTCTCCATAGTTGGTTTTGTACAATTATCAGGATTAGATACAACACATACATTTTCAGCAATATACGAGTCATCAGTGCTACCTACTTTCACAGGACTGGCCACTGCAATTGGCGAGTCCCATGCTAGAGACTCCGCAGAACCAACACTAGCTCTACCATTAGCAGTAAAAGAATCTGACAACTCTGATGATGTGCTATTCTTTATTGTGGTGAGACTATATAAACCAGCAAAACAAGCTCGAGCATTCTCCTGAGCTAATGTTTCTTGCAAGGCATCATGTGGACTTTGTGCTTTGTTTTCTAATCGATTATTGCTGTTCACATTAACATTCATCAGACTTGACATTCCAGGAAGGTTGCGATTACATTTAATTGTTTCAAATTCTTCATCCATCATGAGGCAATGATTTTTAAGTTGATCAATTTCCTCTTGCAGGTTATCAAGACACAACATTGTGCTGCTTTCATTTGGAGCTTCCGGAAGAGAAATGTCCAAACTTAATTCTGAACAAGTACTATCAAATGACCCTTCCCTTGGTAATCTCTTAGAATATCCCAGAGAATCAAAAGATTCATCTCTTGTAATCCTAGAGTGAATTAAAATGGGTGAACAATTACTTCCAAAAGAACTTTTTCGAGATGCCATAGATGATCCATCTCCATTTGAAGGTTTATTATCTCTAAACATTCCAAAAGGTGCATATTTCCAACCATCTTCCCAATTGGTTACAATTTTTCGGTCCCTATTTCTGTGTTTTAGTCTGCATCCAGGGGTAACAGGAAGACTTGCACAACCATGTTCTAATAGCTAAAAATGATATGAATATTCTCATAAAAAACCAACATCTCAAAAAATGTCAAAGGTAATATAATAATGTTGGTAAAATACAACAACCATTTACAGCCAAAATAGTATTTTCTTTACAATTTTCAAGCTTCCAAATTGAATTAAACAACATGTTCTAACAACAACTGAATTTCTGACATATTCTGAACTTAGTACCTGAGGTCCTTGAGACACTGAGAGCATGTTTTTTAGTCGCTTTATTAACCAACTTGAGTCATTATCTTTGGATGTTTTCTTTTGTTCTTTTAAACAAGCCCTGTGTAATCCTGGCCCCATATTATGTTTCATAGACCATGAGCCCTGACGGAAATGCTGAAGGCCACAAGGAGAAGATGCAGATGAACTGTTTGAGAGCTTCTCCATTTGACTTTCTTCAAACGTGCTGCTTTCATTTCCATACTCGTCATATGATAACCCAAACTGTAATAATTGTAAATATCATACTCATTTCTTCATTCAATATAATCATAACATTTAATTTTACTAGATTAATGAAGAACAAAAATATTGAAATTATTGTGATTACTGAAAATTACTGATAATTCTGACCTCACACTAAAACATGAACTGTAACTTCACATAGCTACAAAGAGTTCAAATAATTTATTTATATGAAATTAGGTCAATTTTCATTGGAAATGGGAGAAATTTTGTTACAATTACATTCCTATAAAAGAAAAAATATGGTCTCAGAACTATGATCATGATGGTGATCGTACACTCTTGAAAAATTAAAAACTGAATGACTAACCACTGAAAATAAAGTAATTTATGAACTTATGATTTAAACACTTAAATTCTTTTATTGTTTTGCAAATAACAATAAAATAACATATGACTTACAAACAGTGCACCAAAATTATTTTAGTTTCAGTAACTCAGTTCAGTCATTTACACTCAACAATGATACAATGTCATTTTTAATATACCCTTCCTATTGACAATCACTCTTCATGCTATCATTTTTATATTTCTGTTACCTATT